AAATGTACTTTGAAGGTGATCAGTATTAGAACTTGCAGGTAATGTTAATGTTGTGGGAACGTTCCCTGCTTGCTGGGTGAAGGCTGAGTAATGACTGACTAAGGCCTGGAAAAGAGCGGGAAAAGTACAAATCTCCTCAAACCTAAGCTACACGTTAAAATTCTAATTTTTTCCCCCATAATTTTATGTATTTGTTCAGACAGTCATCCGGCTGCATAAGTAGAATTTCATATCTGTGATGCTATTTCTTAAATGTCCTCCTCAGCCGTTGCACCGCGGCGGCCTCTGCGCAGCGTTTCCGTGGCGCCACCTCATCGTGTGTCAGACTGCCTTCGCCACGGCAACAGCAGCGATGCCCGGGCGGTGAGGGCGGTGTGTCTGCTGATGGGGGGGGCAGCGGCCTCCTCCGCCCTGGGCTACCTGAACTCCTGCTCCCCCTCCTCTCCGCTCGCCACCAGAGCCCCAGAGATGGCCCACGGCACGGGGGGCTTCTCCGAGCTTTCCGCCGGCGGCTCCTTCCACGCCTGCAGCCAGGACGTCGACTCCCCACACTTCAACAGCTTTGACTTTGAAGGAGACTCTGACTTTGACGCGTTCGACTGCGGAGGATTTGCTTTTTAGTTGTGACCAAAAAAACAAAAAAAGAGAAAGACATTCTCTACAAAACTCCTGTATCAGTGTTCCTTTTCACTATAAGGGCATCGTTATTCATTAATCCCTCGTTGGGTTATCTATACGTCTGATTTATAAATTAATGAAGGTGTTCTTCCTGGCTTTATGCCCATGCTCCTCAGGTAAATGATTCATGATCTTGACTCCTCTGAACACAGTCTGTCTGTGTTGTATCACTCTTTCCATGCCACGGGACCTCTTGAGGTTAACTGTGTGAGCAGTGCGATTGCAGACAGCCGCCGGGACATTTTAGTCTCAGAAACATAAAAATACAGGTTTTTCAATGCTTGTCTGACAACTTTATTTTATACTTTGAAAAAAAAAAGAAGCTGACCTCAGTGAATATTTTCTCTTTTGCCCTGCTTTCAGAAATCACCCACCAGCTGCACATACCTCACATGGACTGCAGTTCAAAGGGGAACTCTCAGTAAATCCTGCTCTTACCATGACTTTGCGTCTCTCTCTAGATCCATCTGCTGTTTGCTGGCTGGCGTAGAGCAGCAGTGCAGACAATAGGTTTGGAGAGGAGGGACGCTGGAGCAGATTTGCACGAGCAGAATGGTTGCGTGTGCTCATCTGAGATTTTGTGTCACAGCAAAAAAAAAAAAAAAACACAATAATCCACTGTGTTCAGAGTTTATGAACTGTTTGTTTGTGTACCAGAATGAGCTACATTTAAAAAAAATAGACTGTCCTTCCACAAAAACCCTCAAATTAGTCGTTCCAGCACCTTATCACTGCTGATCTGTGTGTGCTACATTCATTTTTTTATCAGTTTATTACTGCCGGCAATGGTGCTAAAAGAGGAAACAGTCCTTTGTGTCTTCATTCGTCACATCCGGTATAAAAAGGACTCAAATGACACATATCTGAAAAGACGTTGTCATTATTCGTGCAAAATTATTGACACTACGGACGATGTTTCACTTCTAAATTTGAATTATATTTTCTAATAATGTCTTCTTATTCATGTGCATCACTTCTGTTTATAATGTTATGAATGCTATGCAAACGTTTTGGTGCTCAGTATCGGCAACCAAATTTACCAGGACTGAAAAGTACAAGTTATGTAAATACAAATGTGATTGACAACATGCATTACTGAAGCAGAGTCTCGGCTAAAACTGTGTGGGTGTTGTGTTATAATCCATGAGTTAAGATCGAGTTTAAACAGCTTTTTTTTGTTCTTTCTTCAAAGTAGATATATGAGTATATATATTTTTACATATTCTATGTCAGATAAATTACCAAAAAAACATGCTTAACAGTTACTGTTAATCCTCAGTTCATCTTTTGCAAAATGCCTTCTTCTTACAAACTCCAAATTGCATATAAACAGAGACTGACAAAAGTTCTGAGTACCAAACAAACCAACAAAGAAACACAAATAAAGAGTGCAGACTTCTAACTTATTTGATGTTGGTACTTTGATTTGGTGTTCTCGACATTAAAACTAGAGAAAGGACCCACAGAAGGTCGTCTTGCACAGAAAATCTGCAACAAAAAATATAGTTTTCAGGAAAGGTGAAACTGGATTATTAAGTAATTGCATTCTTGAAATGGGGTTAAGGCTCTCATGACAAGTCCTGCAATCCGATGAATTAGTTCAGTTAAACCTGCAGTCAGTGAGGCAGAAGAGGTGAAAAACTTTAGTGGCAAAGTGCAAATGCAGTAACAGATGTTTAAGTTAGCGACATTATAACAGGTGAGCCTTCTGCCTGTGTTTCTCTGCACCTGCATCACTTTCTGAATGGAGTAGACAGTGTTGTGTTTGCATGTGATTGTAAGGTCAGCCCTGTCCACATGTTGTTACTGATCTCTCTCAGGCTGTCGCAACATACTTCACGATTTTATGTATTCATTTTATGCATTTATTTCGAACACTGTTAAAGTATTTATTGTGTATTTTATTTTCAGGTACATTGTAATGGGATAATGAGTGCTATTGTATATAATACGCTTTTGAATATATTTGCTGTGCTTGTCCTCCATTACTCTTTATATTTCATCTAATTTAATGTAATGCTGTGTTTAAGAATTTGTAAATTTAATGTGTTGCTGCCAGAACCCCAATTAAAGAGTATTCATGTCTCAGTGAAGCACCATAAATAAATTTACAGAATGAGTTCACTTTCTTTTTTTGCTGTGGCGTCAGCTTTGAGGATTAATAATGGAAACCACGGTGACAGATGCAATGTTTTCACACACTTACAACACTAGAAGATTACTACAAGACTAAGTGTGTTTTCAGCTATGATAAAATCAAATATAAAGCATAGAGAAAAAGACTCCGAGCAAAATTTTACACCCTGAATAGGAATCTTCACTCAATAAATGAAAAAAAACAAAAAAGGATGACGAACAAAATGAGACTTGGGTTTGGATCTAGGAGGAGAGTGTGAAAGCTTTACTGGATTGCTCTGAACAACAAACACTCTTTAATCCTCTTTCTGACGGCAGGGTGTGAAAAACAAACTCTGAGTGTGTTACATAACTATTTAACCGGCTGAATCTCCCATTCTCAGACTGGATTTCACTTACGGACATTCTGCTTTCTGTTAAATCACATTTTTACCTGAGTGTAGCCTGCATGATAAGTCATCCTCGTTGAAATGATTGGTTAGGTGACTTTTGTTCCAGTAATAAACAATACTTCCACTGAATGATTTACATTTAAGATTCTTTATATCAAAAAAGGTTAATGATTGAATCAAGTGTTTGACAATAAAAAGGTTGCCATAGAGTGGCCTACTACATGCATAAGTCTGAGTAAAACTGCAGGTAACAAGAATTGCAATGCAAAGCTAAATATTTCAGTAATTCTAACAACAATGACTCTGGAGTTTTGGAGATGCTGACAAACCTGTATGTTATAGTTGAACCTGAAACTTTTAAACATTTTGTTTGTTGCACTTGAAAACTTTTGCATTTTCTGATCTCCTAAATCCATCCTTTAATTATTAACTTTGACAGATGAATCCAGCTGACTTTCCCTCTTCCTCCACGTGAACCATTTGACCCACCTTCTTGTTGGGCTACACCATGTCCAATGTGATCTGTTGCCTGGTGTTTGGCCAACGCTTCAATTATGAAGACAAGCAGTTCCTGCAACTCCTTCACATCGTGTCTGAGCTGCTAAGATTCAATAGCAGCACAGGTAAGTGAAGGGTGAAACCAGAGAGTCATCCAGAGCCAGTTCCAAGCAGCTACAGATCACAGAATCAATTGTGCAAACAATTATTTGTCGGTATAAAGTGCATGGGACAGTTGTGTCACTAACATGATCAAGAAGAAAACACTGGTCAGGATGGTCAAGAATCAACCAAAAGCACGTCTGCAATGAAATCCAAGCTACTGAAACACAGGTGTCAGTCATCGCCACGAGCTGAGAGGCTGCCATGCAAGAAGAAAGCTCTTTCTTCAGAAGCATCACCTTCAGGCTAAAGTTTACTACTGATCACATGGACAAAGAAAAGACCTCTGAAGGGAAGTTCTACAGTCAGATGAAACAAAAACGATCTACTTGGCCACAGTGTCAAGAAATATGTTTGGAGGAGAGAAGCTCAGGCCTTTTACTCCAAGAGCACCAAACCTACCATCAAGCATGGTGGTGGCAGTGTTATGCTCTGGGAGAGCCAGTGGAACTGGTGTCTTACACAAAGTAAATTGGAAAATCAAGACGGAGAATTACCTCCACCTTCATCAGCCACAAGGTTGGATCATTAATGCAGTTGGGTGTTTCAACAAGATAATGACAAACACATCAAAAGTGGTAAAGAAATGGTTAAATCAGGCTAGAAATAATGTTTTAGACTGGTCTCTGACTTACACCCCATCAAGAACCCGCGAACTGAAGCTCCACTCAGACAATCTGACCAACAAGGATTTCTCCACAACACACGTCGCTGTGAGAGACCGAGCTGCAAAGCAAGAGTCTCCGCAGGTGGATTAACAAAAGAGGGTTTTAATTTAACTCCCAAAAATGACAAAACAAAGTTACAAAAGCAAGCACTAAGTTCTGGGTTTCCAAATGAACTCTGAAACCTTCCTTGCAGTTTCATTAATCAACCTCAGGGACAAGAAATAAGGTGTTCTTTGTTCTTGTACACTTCATTCAAGTCCTACCAGTTGACTCTAAACACAAAGCACAAATCAGGTGAAAGTGCACAGAACAGGCCAAGATAATCTGATGGTTCACCTGTGCCCTACTGCAGCGCTGCTGACAACTCCCTGTTAAATATAAACACAACGATTCCGATAGAAGAACCGATCACAGAGAGAAAGTGAGTATAAGAGCAGAGGCAGGAATACAACGTGCAGACAGCAACATGGACTTGTCTTCAACATTACTCGTGGCAGGAATAATCTTAGTGCTGCTGTGGCTGTTTGGTGGAAACTATGGTAGTAAGCACCGTTTGCCTCCAGGACCTCGTGCTCTTCCTCTCATAGGAAACCTTCCACAAATGAACAAAAATGAGCCTTTTAAAAGCTTAGTGAAGGTGAGTTCAAGAGCAAATTCATTTTGTATTCATCATGTTGTTTTTTTTAGTTGTAATATAACATATACTGTATTCAGTCTTTCAGAACAGGACTTTTGATTACAAGTTGACTCTTGCACTGAAATAAAGTTGCATTAGAATGTTTATTATCCTAAGAATTCATGTCTTTTCAGTTCAGCCAAACGTACGGTCCTGTGATGACAGTGTACCTGGGCTGGCAGCGGACAGTTGTTCTGGTCGGATACGATGCAGTGAAAGAGGCGCTGGTGGACCAGGCAGATGATTTCATAGGCAGAGGACGGCTGCCATTTCTGTTCAAAGCTACCAAAGGCTATGGTAACACAAAACACTTCAGATCTGTCACCTCTGACAAAGCATTCATGGCTTTTTTTTGCATGTCTCTGTATCAACATGGCTCAATAACAACAACATACATTTCCTCTATGAAGGGTTGGGGACCAGTAATGGCGAACGCTGGCGACAGCTGCGACGTTTCACACTGACAACTCTGAGAGACTTTGGGATGGGACGCAAGGGGATGGAGGAGTGGATCCA